TGTGGTGGCTACGTTTTAGAAGCAGAAAAAGGCTATAAAAAGGCAGCAACGAGGCAGATCTTGAGAGCCACGAGATTCCAAAGAGAAGAAGGAGAACAAGACAGAAAAGGAAGAGAAAGAAAGGGAAAGAGATAAGGACAACGCAGAGAGACTGTTCTCAATCATCTAGTAGTGTTCTCATCTCAGGTTAGATCAAATCTACAGTAGACTCTTGCTGTGATTACTTGGGGAGGTTTTAGATATTGTGGGCAGTGACGTGATCCTTGTATCCCAGTTCTTCTCTTGTGGTTGTTGCTAGGGTTTAGGGCAAGAGATTGAGATTTGTATATTCATTATTCTCATAGTAGATTATCTCTAGTTTGCCCCGTGGTTTTTATCCTTCACATTGAAGGGGTTTTCCACGTATATCTTGGTATTCTGTTTGATTGTGTTTCCATTCTATTTCGCTACGTATTATGGTCTTCTAGTATTTGTTCATATACAAAAGTTATTCCTCTTTATATCCCCATCATTCCTAACTCAAATTTAGAGAGAGAGAGAGAGAGAGACAATCGAGCATTATATGTATAGTTTACGGTTGATAAGCCAATGTACGTTTGAGAGAGAGAGAGAGTGTAGCGAGATCCACGTGGTGGCATTTGGCTCGGCTCGGCTGAGGCTTTTGGCTTGGCTCGGGGATTCAACTGCCGACGGCTTTTGGGGCAGTTTTGGAAAGGTTGACTCCCGCAGAATCCAAACTCACATGCCGTCCACGTTTGCTCTTGGTCTTAATTTGAAGTCACTCTTTGACTCCGACTGCACACCGCAATTCTTCTTTTTACTCATTTTCGATTGCGATAACGTTGGGATGAATTATCGGGAAAAGAAAAAACACAGAGCATCGTATTACAGTATTTTTGCCTTATAACGAACGCCTTTATTTTATAAAATAATGGTACTACTATTTTATTTTCCCTGTTCTCTCTATAATAATACTAATACTTTTGATAGGTAGACTTTCTCCTAACATGATAGCATATGTCATCTCGACCGGTCTCAAACATTAGTCAATGAGCCTAAAGAAGCATGAGGCTTAGGCACTTGTGGGAGTCGAGAGTTATAATATATATATATATATATATATATATATATATATATGATCAAGTAGATTGATAGAGATAGAAAGAGAGAGAGAGTTATAACTAATGTCTTAGTGGAATCATGAGGTGGAGTCAGAAAAAATGTGGTGTCAGACTCTTAGTTGATATCTCCTTCTAATTCTTGTTGACATTTTAGTAGACTCGATGGCCGGTAAATATATTGAGTTCTATCCAAACAATCTATTATTATTTTCAAATTCTTATTTTCTATAAATTTATACTTCTGAATTTAAATTGGCATGGATGATTTATGAAAATTTCTCAAAATTAAGGATGTTTTTCAAGAATTCCAAAAAAATTTATTTTATTTTCTGAGAAATCACCTAAAATACTAATTCGACGGGTAATGGGCTCCTAAATAAATTACCCTTTCAAAATTTTACAAAGTTAATGTGCACGCTTACAATTTAATTCTTATCGAATATTTTCTAATTTAACGTTGGAAAACAGAGGCAGTAAAAAAGCCATAAGCTAAGCCACATTCGGCGCCGTCTCAAACCCAAGCCAGCTCGGGCCACAACCCGTAAGCGGTAACCACCCGCGACGGGACGGGACCCACCCAGTCACCTCCACTTGCCGGTAAAAGGAGGAGTTCCTCCGCATCTGCCTTTTACTTTAGCCTCCTTCCCTCCATCTATATAAATTAGCGGCCTCCTTTCTGCCCCCGGCGCTCGCTCCTTTCGAGTTCGGAGAGAAGTGCGAGGCGCAATCGATCGAAGCAAGAAGCATATCTCGGCCGGGGAGCCCCGATCGGCGTCGGAGATGACGGTGTTCGCCCACTGGGGCGGGAGAGGAGCCGCGGCGAAGGCGGCGCAGCAGATGATTCCGTTTGCCGACTACGGCTCGGAGGCGTCGCAGCGGCTGGTGGAGGCGGCGCACCTCGGGGACTCGGTGGCCGCGTCGGAGTGCCTCGTGGACCCGGCGGCGGACGTGAACTACGCCGGCGCGGTGTGCTTGCGGGCGCGGCGCGCCGTGGTGGCCCTCCGCGAGGAGGCCGCCGATGAGGTCCGGGTGGAGTTCGAGGAGCTCCGCACCGACGCTTCCGCCCTCTTCCTCGCCTCCCACGCCGGCGATCTTGCCCTCGTCCGCTTGCTCCTGGTTCGATCTCCTCCCTCATCCCTCTCTTTCCTACTCTGCATTCCCATTCGATCAAGATCGCGAACAGAAGATATTTTAATTCCCTTTTATTTGCTTTTACTTTTATCATCTCGATTATTTCCCAAAATATACTTCTATTGCTTAAATGGGTGCAATCGGGTTCGGTTTCTTGACCCGCAAAGCTGCACCCGATCCGTTATATTTGAGTCCGAAATGTTATAGAATGGGTTATCGGACTGTCGAATCCGTTTCCTTTTTCTTGATGTCCACCATTGCTCGGATCGCAAAATCTCGACCGTCCGATTAGCGATCCGGTGCCGTCCCGTGATTCGCGTGATCTCGAGTCCCCGGCGATGCGTGGTGTCATACCACGCAGCTGGCACGACTGTACGTCTCTCTCTCCTCTTAAAATGCCTTGAACGTACTTCATGCCTCCAGTTCCGTACCGTCTTGGCCGATTGCCCTTCCATTTCTAATTGGGTGCGGAATTTGATCCTAACAATCAATGGAAGTGTAATTAGTGGGGGGAGGAGCGTCGAGCTCACGCGACATATCCGCGAGGTATTGAATGCGCTCCATCTTGCTCGCAGTGGTGCGAGCTGTCGTACGGCAGCCCCCATTTACATCAGACTCCCGCAGCGCGCACGCGCCGTATCGCGTGGGACTTCGCATCTCGTCCGTCCAACTGGCCGAACCCTCGTGTGTTCACCCTATTAAATCCCCTGCAGTTTTCTTCCTGATTGACCCGTCATCCTCGGCCTTGAGACCTCGCACGGTTCTCAAAGCTCATGATTTCTACTGCTTAATTGCATGGAGGTGGGGTATCATCGACTTGCACTGCACCTGCGAGAGGGAAGGCTTTTGGACTGTACGATTTCGGATGCCTGTGGCCGTCTGGTGTCACGACGCTGCCAGTTGTTCGCTTTCAGAACACCTGAAGAAAGGGCTCTCGGCGCATGCGGTCGCTGCCGGCATCCGACTCATCGCCACCGTTTTCACCTGATCAGAGGGTTGCTATCGCATCTTTAATGTAACGCGCATTTGTGATGGATGTACCGCTTTGCTCTGACTTCACCCATGCAGGGTTGGTACTGACCAGGTGCAAGTAAAGAACAAACAAGAAGACAAAGGAAATAAAGCGCCTGATACTTTTCTGCTGCTCCTTTATATCTTGTCTTTATCTTTCTTTTGACGATTTACTGATTAATTTAGTGGAATTGAGATAACTGGAGATCAAGAATTTGTTATGGTTGGCTAATTTTGATGTTTTTGGTTAATGGGGGGGGGGGGGGGGGACTGTGAAGGAAAAAGGCGCCGACGTGAATCAGAAGCTGTTTCGAGGACACGCGATAACGGCAGCGGTGAGGGAGGGGCAGGCGGAGGTGGCGGCCTTGCTGCTGAAGGCCGGGGCGTCGCAGCACGCCTGCGAGGAGGCGGTGATGGAGGCCAGCCTGCACGGGAGGGCGCGGCTCGCGGAGCTTCTCATGGGATCGGATCTCGTGCGTCCCCCCGTCGCCGCCCATGCGCTCGCCTTGGCCGCCTCCCGAGGGTTCGTCGACGTCGTCGACACCCTCATCGAGGTACATACTCGGTGTGCTCTCAAAATACCCCCATTTCCATTCGCTTTGCCTTGTTGATGGCGGTGATGTTTGAGTTCCACTTTCCCAAATCTATATGCAGTGTGGAGCGGATCCGAATGCAACATCTCGTTTGCTGCTCCGCTCGCTGAAACCATCCCTGCACACCCACGTTGACTGCACCGCCCTCATCGCCGCTATCGTCGGCCGTCAGGCTGCCGCCGTCCGGCGGTTGTTGCAGGTATTTTTGACACTCCCTATGCCTTGAATCCTGCGACCTACAGATTCATGACGTATGTGTGTGATAAGGCCGGCGTGCGGGAGGACGCGAAGGTGAGACTGGGTGCGTGGTCGTGGGACGCCGACACTGGTGAGGAGTTCCGCGTTGGAGCCGGGCTGGCCGAGCCCTACAGCGTCGCCTGGTGCGCCGTCGAGTACTTCGAGTCCACCGGCACCATTCTCCGCATGCTCCTGCAGCATCACTCTCCCAACGCGCCTCATCACGGCCGGACCCTCCTCCACCACGCCATCCTCTGCGCCAATCCTCGAGCTGTCGACACCCTCTTGGCACGCGGAGCCGACTGCGAGCTCCCCGTCAGGACCAGCAGGAAGATCGAGTTCCGGCCGATCCACATGGCTGCTCGACTCGGCCTGGCCTCTGTTCTGCAGATCTTGATCGACAAAGGGTGCGACCTGAACCCCAGAACTGACACCGGAGAGACGGCATTGATGCTATGTGCACGCTACAAACGTGATGAATGCCTCAGAATTCTCGTATCGGCTGGTGCCGATCTCGGCCTGGTGAGCTCGGCTGGTGTGTCTGCCGCTACGGTCGCTGCTTCCGGCCATTGGAGCTTCAGTTTCCAGCATGCAGTTCTCGACACGATTCGGCAGGGAACCTTTCCTCGATCAAGTGATCGAAACGTCTTCTCCCCGATCATGTTCGCGGCCCAGTGCGGCGATGTTGGGTCCTTGGAGGTGCTACTGACGCGACCAGACATCGACGTGGACGAGCAGGATGAGAACGGGCAGTCCCCTGTCATGGCGGCCGCCGGAGAAGGCCACGTGAATGCGTTCCGCGTCTTGCTCGTCGCCGGCGCCAACATGAAGCTGCGCAACAAATCAGGGGAGACGGCCGTCGAGCTTTCTCGGTCGAACGAGAACCGGGATCTTTTCGAGCAGGCGATGCTCGAGTTCACTCTCGAGAGAGGCAACGCCGGAGGGTTCCACGCTCTGCACTTTGCCGCTCGGCGGGGAAACATGGCCGCAGTGCATCTCCTGATCAAGAGGGGGAGCGACGTGGACGCCATCGACGGAGACGGGTGCACTCCGCTGATGCTGGCAGCGAGGGAAGGCCACGCAGAAACATGCGAGTTCTTGATCCTCCGCGGTGCCAAGTGCGACATCATGACGCGCAGAGGCGAGACGGCCCTCTCGCTCGCGAGGTCGAACGCGAAGCTGGGCATGGAAGCCGAGAACGTGATACTGGATGAGCTCGCCCGTGCGCTGGTCCTGCATGGCGGCCGCGTCAAGAAGCACACCGAGTGCGGGAAGGGGTCGCCACACAAGAAGGTGCTGAGGATGGAGGCGGCGGCGGGGGTGCTACGGTGGGGCAAGGCGAGCCACAGGAATGTGGTGTGCACGGAGGCGGCAGTGGGCGGGAGCTCAGCGTTCCAGAAGAACAGGAAAGGAAAGGCCGACGCGAACGAGGCGGGGCTGTTCCGGGTGGTGACCACCGGGATGAAGGAGGTGCACTTTGTGTGCGAAGGTGGAGAGGAGGTGGCCGAGCTATGGGTGAGGGGGATCAGCCTGGTGACGAGGGCAGCATTCGGTGGTAAGTGAGGATGACATGTGCAAGGTGTTTGTGAAAATGAAGTTGTAAGTAGTAGAAAGGGTGGTAGTGTCGGCTCTCCGTTTTCTCTCTTTCCACTATAAGCTTATAACGCTGCATAGTTTCCTTGGATCAATTATGGCACACGATTTGGTCTCCATTAAATCCATCACAAATGGCCAAACTTTCTGAAAAAATTTCATAATATTAAGAATTTCTCAAAAAGCATCATAAGTTTGAGAAATTTTTACGGAACACCTCTTTTTTTTTTTAATTATTATTCTACATTTGTTAGTCATCGCCTTCTGCCAGCCCTTTGGGCACACCTTCCCTTGATGGTGTTAGCTTCTTATATTTTATCTTTTATCGAGGTAAATTTTGTACTAGGATATTAATTTATTTTGTTTTCTATTAATTATATTTAATTTTTTTATTTTTGGTCATAATGGACATTTGCAACTCTCTTCACATCATCTTTGAACAGAACCAATGATCTGACCAAGTAACAGTCCATTTGATGTAATGACCTGCGTAGGTCATATTTTAGACTCTCTTCTTAGTAAATACAAGTATTTTCTTGTTTGTAAATAAAAGACAATACATGAATATTTATTGGTGTGATGTCAGATTTGTGCCCTTCATATGTTTTGTGATTTCTTGTTTCCTAAACTTACGAGTCCAGTCAGTATTATTGAAACATCCGATCAATGCTTGCATGGTTGACGTTAACAAAGTATATATATATATATACATACAAATATATATGTATATATATATATACATAA